CCCCGGCTGTACGGCTGCAGTTCGGCGTCCGTCGAGTCACTGGCGTCGTCGGCCGACGCCGTGGTGGCCGCCTGCAAGTCTTTCGACGACCTGCACGGCGTGGCCGCCGCGGCGCACGGCAAGCGGAACAAGTACCCGACGGCCGGCGGCCGGAACAGCAGCAGGACCCGACACATACGCGAGGCCCAGCAGACGTTGTTCCGGTTCCTAGACTCCGAGTCTTCCGGGGGAGGCGGTGCTGCGCCGTATTTGCTTCAGCAGTGCGGCGGCGGCAGCGTGAGGTCGCTCGACTTGCAGCAGGACGCGACGGCCGCCGACTCGCACCGGTTGAAGAGCACCGAATATTACTCGCACTTGACCGCAACCGGTGCGGCATCACTGTCGGGCGCTGGGTCGCCGCGTCCCAGCCGGTCGCTCAACTACGATTCGGAACAGTCGGGCCGGCGGGCCCCGATGCCGCCCAAGAAACCGTTGCGGCTGTCGTTGCAGCAGCGACACTGCGCCAATAACGCCGCGGCCGGCAAAAACGATGTCGGCGACGACTACGCCGCGACGGTCGACCACAACGGCGGCGGCGGCGGCGGCAATAACGGCGACGTCGTCGTCAGGCTGCGTCACGGGCACAACCGTCACAATAACGATCACAACCGTCACCGGCGCAACGACGACGTCGACGACAACGACGTCGATCTGTCGGCCATAAACAACACCATGTCGTGAACATACCTACTACCTAACTTCTGTAAATTATTTTGTGTACACATAGTTTTATTATTATTTTTTTTCCCCGTTTAATATTCGAGTTAATTTATTTTCTTAATATATAATACAAACGACCTTTAAACGTGTGTGGTTTCTTTTTTATGTTTCCGTCACATCTATATAGGTGCCTACTACGAAGTACCGATGTCAATATCGGTGGCACACTGGCACCAAACCCTTTATTACCTACGTCAGTGACCAGTGTATAGAGGCTGTAACGCGCATCATTTGCGTGTGTAGTGCTGCAGATGTATATTATTATTGTCATAAGTCATAACGTATAAGCCTTTAATGGCTTATTTTTAATTTTACACTTTGTAAGATTGTAATTGTTGATACCTATAGTAGGTACCTACCTAGACCAAGCGCGGCTTCAGAGACTTACCAGGAGAGAAGCATTTTTTTGGCAATCACTAAATTACTGAGGGGACCTAGATAATACCCTAATCTGGAATGCAAGCTTGTCAATAAATAACTTCTTATAATAGTGAATCCTTAAACTTAAAATCCCGCAAAACAATACTTATGGAAGTTTACTTAATATTATTAATACATAGTAATATATTATTATTAATACTTTTTTTATGGAAAAAACAAAATAACGTTTACTTTATTTAAACCAAAGCTATTCAAAATATATTTATATACAAGAATTATCTTTCTGTCAAAAGAAGCATTTGCTATAAAATCTGAGCCCTACTTATTAGTATAAGACTTATACTATAAGTACTTACACAGCAGTCAACAGAAAGTAAATAACATAATATATACCTAGCATATATTATAATAATGAAAAATGTATACTCAATAGAAATATGAGTAGGTGCTCGATATAAATTACACAGATTTGTAGCATTTTCGTGTCAGAATATAATTTTTCTTTTATCCAAATCATTTAATTATTAGATTTTTTAAAAATTACTTTATTAGTTTACCTGAAATCCTGAAATATTACTTATTATTAAAATTCAACTTTATAAGCTATAAATGGATATTATAGATATACTAGCGTAGTTAGGAGATATTATAGTGATATAATGGACTTTCACTAAAATGTATAATATTATAAACAATCAAAATTTGAATCAATCCCATTCTTTTCAACAGTGGGTACCTACTACCTAGACCTTTTTATTTATATTATCAATACTTAAATCATTAAATTCCTCTAAATAACTATACAGTAACAACACGGTTACACGAACATATTATAAGTATAATATATTAATATTGTACAATAAGGATTAAAAAAAGATTTAATACAGTTTAATAATATTTAGGACTATCATATAATATCCGTCTACCAATCTATTAATACCTATGTTTTAGACGCACTTAATTAAATATATGTATAAAATATTACTTAATAGGAAATTCCTCTGGTGTAAAATTGATAATGTCCGCATCAAACAATAAAATTATAAAATATTAATAGTTTCAAGTTTTTATATTTTAAATTGTTTCAATGAACTTTTCGAAAGATCGAATATCGCGCGAATTAGAAGGTTCCAAGAAAACATAACGCAGTCGCCAGTGTTGGCAGCACTGTTACAAGTTATCTATTGCCACACAGCTGATCGCTCTCCGGCTGAGGCAACCGTTCGCTGAAAAGATCTGTCTGTAACTCGGTACGCCGTTTTCAAGTGGGGATAGAAAACATAATACAAAAAAAAAACCAGATATTAATGCACATATACGACTGTCAGAAACAAACAACGCGGAAATCGACGCATATAACCGTCAGCGTGCACGACTCGAAAGTAAATAGAATAATCCATTTTTAATACGAATTAAAAATGTCTGCCATTACGAATATGGAAGATGAATACGATGAGTACAACTACGACCAAGACAAATTGGTCAACAGCGGACACAGCGGTAATATTACGAACATAATAATATCGCTCCTAAATCTTTACACGTTTTCATGAGTACATTATAAACGTGATTTTTTTTTATTTTGACGTACAGGTAAAAATAGGAGCAAGAAAGAGGCTAGCGAACACACCAATCATTTCGATCCAAGTGGTCACTCGAGAAAATTATCAACTAAATTGCAAAACACCGAAACCAACAGGAAGGAAGAGAATTTGAAGCCTCATCCAACAACCAAAAAGTGATGGGATCCAAGCGCTTCCTCCAATGACTTGCTACGGTTTTACTTAAAATTTCTTTTCTTTATTTTCCAAAAACATAATTGATTGCTCATAAAAAGCCATCGTTAATAATTGATATTAATTTAAAAACTAATGTTCTGAAACGTTTAATCTACATTCTTTGACCGTAGATTATCATTTCTTTCTTAATATGATATATATATATTTTTTTTTTTTTTTTAAGATATAATATTATCTATAGATGTTATATTTTTGAAAAGTGTATAAGAAATTGTATATGACATCAATGCGTTTCAATACATATAAGTTGATTACAATTTTTAGTTTTATTATTATTTATTTAACCATATGTCTACTATTATCTCACATATGTTGTGTCAAACTTATAATTTGAAATTATCTCCATGTAACATAAATATAATAACGATCAAATTTTACTGCAAACAAATCAATAAACCTCAAGGTCAAATGTATTGCTAGCAATAAAAACTTTCATTTTTTAACTGACAACAATGTTATACATAGCTGGTACTCACTACTTTGTTAACTCAATGGTATACATACAGTAACCTTCTATTATCCATTGAATGACACTTCAAATTTTGAATAATGATTTATACCATTCTTTTATTCAGTCAACATGTTGCCTTCAAATAAAGCAGAAGAATTAAGATGTCAGGAAATAAATGTACAGGGGTTATGAAAGGCAATATGTAAGTGTGACTAGAGTAAATACTGTAATGTCACATTTAAAGTAGCTTAAGTGGTGAATACTAGCAAATGATTTCAATATAGCCCTATAATAATGTAATCAAAATAATAATAGGAACTGTAAATGGTATATATCGTAAATGTCAAGTTATAAGTTTATTATAGGTACACCATATTTAAAAAAATAAATTCTAATATAGGAAGTCTTAACAGACTCTTTGTTCTCAGAGCGTGTTGGTAAATATGTTTAGTTTCACAGCATGAATTAAATCATGAACTGAAAAATATATCTATTATATTAGTACTATTAGCTTAGAAATTCGTAAAAACAAAATATTATTGTAATGAGATCACAATTAGATGAGTTGCTAAGGAAACATATATTAAAAAATGTGCACATATAAAGAACAAATATAAGGGTATTGATCAACTTGTAGAATCCATGGTATAAGAAAAGAGACAGAAATGTCACATAAAAAAAAACTCTTAGTAAAACATTTTCAGATGTAACTAGCTGTTGTGTTTATAGTGTCTTCACATTACTATTTTTTTTTATTTTTTATGTTTATTTGAGTTATGTAACAATAAAAAACCAATTCACTTGACTGAAGTAAATTATTTAACTCTACAACATTTAAATATCAAACAGCTTACCCTCTATATATGAATGTGGATAGAAAGATCAAACTATGTTATTATGAAAATATAAATTATATTAAAATTATTGAGCAATAAATAAGTTATGAATTTAAAAAAGCTTGCCATGCTATATACATGCATGTTTCAAAATTGCTATGAGTTTAAGTAACAAAAATAACATATCATTAAAGGTAATACAAATATAGATTATCTTCACAAATGTAAATTGTAACAACCGAATTATGAATAAAATCAGTCTAAATATGTAGTTAAACTAACAGTAAATGTTGAAATGTATTTATGGAGATAAAAATATATTAAGTTATGCTAAGTCAGTTAATGCTAGATGCCTAAATAGGGTGATTAATTAACATAAGAAACTCAAATAATGATATTAAATCAATCACCTCGCTTACTACATAGAATAAAAATATTTCCTATAGTTAATGGAAATTAAAATGAATTATTGAAATAATAAGGTAAAAACTCTGAACATAAACAAGACAAAACAAAATATTAATGTCAAAGTGAAATAATACTGATACAATTTGTATTGATAAAAATAATTACTAAAGTAAATATGCCTAATAAAATGAAAAAAAAAAACCATAATCAATCTATCATCAACTATAATAATTAAAAATAAAAATGCTCAATATAACCTAACCTCAGTTATTAGTTTCAATAACACTAAAAAAATATATAAATTCAGTAAATTAATAATCGTAAATATTTAATACATGATCAAAGTTATTTACAGAATGAGTAAAATTAAATTTTTGAATTCAGTTCACCATGTTTTTTAAAATAAGCTGCATGCATTTCAAGTATTTCATTGGCCTCTTCATAATATGGGTTTAAATATGATACTGTTCTCATTTTCCATTTAGATAAATTTGGACGATTGGCATATGGATCAAAACCGGTCATTTCTAAAAAAAAATTTTAAATCTGTATTCAATCAACTTTTTTGTTGCAAACATATTTACTTGTTTGATCGATTTCACAAATACCAATAATATCAGAAAAAGAAATTTCATTCCCACTCAAAAACGTTTTATTTTTTAGCCAAACATTTTCTATTAAGTCTAAAGTAATAATCATTTTTTTTTCTAACTGTGCAACTCTTTGTTTATTTACTGGTTTTCCACTGAATAAAGGCCACATTACCTGAAATATATATACATATATTAGTTCAGTATAATAATTGTATATATTTATAGTCAATTAATTACATAATGTTAAGCCATACTTTATGTAAACAATAGAGACCACAATCAGCTCTAGTATTTGTGTGATGCCACTCTAGATATTCATCTACATGTGCTTGTTTCACAGAATCTTTAGGGTACCAGTGATCAGCTACATTATGAGTACGACAAATGTAACGTAAAATTGCTATGCTATATATAAAATAAAATAACGTTTAAAATAATAACCATATTCTTAGTTCAATTAAACACAAAACACAACATTTGAATATCATATAATACAGCACGCCAATTAATTACTTATTATTCAGCTTGAAAATCTAATCAAAAATCAAACTATCATAGTTAACTTAATTTTAAAAAAATCAGATAATATTATATAGGTAGTTGTAAGTTTAATGTATTGCTAGAAAAGATAAAAGATGAATGAAAAATGAATTATAATGATTAATATGACTAATTTTGAAAAATGATCATGTTTATTTCTGATCGACACCAAGATTAGCTGTTTATAGTAAAATAAAATAAAATATATACCTACATTATACATTGATAAATGAAGAAAAAGATATTGTAGGCGTAAAAAATTGTTTTTTAATATTTAACATCAGTACTTAAGTAGTAGTTAGAAATTTTAATGTCCTTAATATCCATGACTAAGCTGAATAAGAAAGTATTTGTTATCTATCATATTACGAACAAAAGCTACAACACTCACAAACAAAGAAATCAAATTTATTATTAAACTACTGTGCTTCAATCATACATAGTCAGTTAAACAGTTATACATGCATAAAAGAACAAAACACAAACACTACAAATAAATATAATACTACAATGTAGTATATTACATCAGTTGTGTCTATAATTATATATTTTTTACCTTTCAGTAAGAATAAATCCCTTATCGTTGATAACTGGTACTTTTTTTAATGGATTTATGGCCTCAAATTCAGCTGCTAATTGTTCTCCTACGACATAAATATATCATGCGATATGTTGAAGAAAATAAATAAATAATTAACGATTACATAATAAGATATCCACTCACCTTTCAGTAAGTTCACAACTTTTCCTTCAAACGGAACATCAGCTTTTTTAAAAAACATATACAATGCTCTGCATGGTTGTGACAATAAATCGTAATAAAATATTAACTTCGACATGTTTTTAGTTAGAACCTAGACTACCTCGCATTAGAATGCTCCAATTTTAAACTGGTTATTGGAAAACATAAAAATTAATTCAGTTTTTACGAAATTAAAATTATGAAAAGTGGTGGGAAATTTTCGATGATAACAGTATAAAACATCGATGAGATATTCATGTTCATCGATGATTTATTTCTTATCATAACCTTCAAAAAGATAAAAAATTTCCATATGATTACAATTTTCATTCTTACTAGCTGCTTAAACGTAAGTGTTTTAGAGCTAAATCATTCAGCATACGAAAATTTTCTAACGAGTACGGTCGTAACTGCGCTAAACGTGTATTCCATTGTTAATTTTTAAATAAGAACGATAAAATGTCATTTAGAGTGTTCTCCCGGAAGTTTTCTGCTGGCAAGCAATTGCGCGCCGTTATGGATGAGCAATTCACTCCCGACAAACTCAAGGCCTATGAAAAACCCGGCAAGTAGTTTTATTTAAAGTTAAAACTGTCGTAATAAATGCTTACTCTTGTATATGCTTACTGATTGTGTTTTAATTGAATTACAGAAGTCGTTCAAGGCTTGGAATTATGGAAGAAAGTGACCTTTTTTATTGGTTTACCAGGAACCTTGTTGGCAAGTATTTACTGCATCAATGGACATTTGGAACATGAAAAACACTCATCGCGACCAGAGTTTGTTCCTTATGAACATTTGCGTATCAGAACAAGGGTGTGTATTTGCTTGAATATTACATTTAATTGAAAACAATACCAATTCACCTATTAACTAGTTAAGAATGTTTCAATCTTAAAAAACTTATTGTTGAGTAGTAAGTGTGGTAACTATCTTGCCTTGTTAGACATTGATTGCAAATATTCATGCATACTAAACTGATCGATTTTAAATAAAACTTATAAAATTACTTCTTAATCTATTATGACAATATTGCAGTTAAACTAAAACACAACTTTTGATTAATGCTTAATTTAATAAATACCATTTTATAATTATACTTTAAGGATGAAAATAGGTTGAGTAAATTAAATAATAAATACTAATTTTTATATTTTATTTTTATTAAGCCTATATATTTAATAGTCTTTATATTATGCGTTAAGTTCTAAAGTTAAGTCTAAGGTTTAACTTCTATATTTATATCGATAATTTGCTAAAAGAACAAATATAGTTTGATTTTAAAAATTATAGACTTATTATTTTACTGTCGGACAAAATTTTCTTGCACATTTGAGTCAAGGTGTATGTCCATTTATACAAATCATTCAATTCACAAAAGTATAAGTCAAGCTCAAAAATTGTTTTTTAAATTTTTGTACTCAACAATTGTAATTGTTAAGTTTAGGTTAGGTGATAGATAAAATATTATACAAAGAAATTAAATATATATTGTAATCATTTTAATTTTAAATTAGATTTTTTATTCTGGATATGCTTATAAAACAGTTGCTACTTTTTAACCACCTTAAACTATGTAGTACTTAAAATTTTAATTCTAATTTATAAATATTGTTTTTATTTCTAAATATTTTTTTTTTTTGTTTAGTAGATAATTTATGATATTTATAGTGTGTTCTTTATCCACCCAAATATTAATTTTACCATTATCTTTTTTTCAGCGATTCCCATGGGGCAATGGAGACCAGACTTTATTCCACAACCCAAAATTGAATGCTACCTCTCATGGTTATGAAGTAGATGAATAGACATGAAACGTTTTCTGTAATTGTTCTATTTATCTGTAGTTGTGTAATACCAATTTAATAAAGTTTATTATACTGGTTCTGTAAAGAATTAAGTTGCTCCATAAACCAATTATGTATATCTAATAAATAAATGAGACCTTTTTGTAGACTTAAATGTTTGAAATCTTAATTTTAGAAATCTAAACATTTGATGTAAATATCATCTGACCAAAACAATTTATCAGTTATTACTACAGTGAAGAGTTTTATTTTTTTGGATAATTAATTTTCAAAGTAAAAAACTATAGCTTAAAATAAATTACACATGATTTATTATTTTATATCTATAAATTACCTGGATTAAAATTTAAATATATATAACTAAATTATTTTACAATCAAATACAATTTTTTTATCTGAAACATTAACTTTTATTTTTACTTAATTCTTTAACATAACACTTGTATTCATCAGCAGTATGTTCGACAACTTCATGTGCTTCCTTATAAAAAGGTGAAAACTTTGATTGGACTCTAGTCATCCATTTGGTTAAATTTGGATGACCTACTAATGGATCAAAACCAGCAATTCCTAATAGAAAATTAAAAAAATTAATATCATACTATTATACCTAATATAAGTTACAATAAGTTATAAATAACAGATTTTATATATATTTTAATTAAAAAAAAAAAGTTAATTATTTTACTTGGTTGTTCGATTTCACATGCAGCAACAAGATCAGAAATAGAAATTTCGTCTCCGCACAAATACGATTTATCATTTAACCAAATATTTTCTAGTAAATTTAAATTTTCAATCATTCGTTTTTCTAAAATTGCAACCTTTTCAACATTTGTAATTTGGCCAGTTTTTAATGGTGATAATGCCTTTAAAGGAAAAAAATAGTTTAAATAATATCATAATAAAGTCAACAATTATTACCTTGTACCGAAAATACTGAGTACAATGAGCTCTAGTATTATTATGTTGCCACTCTAAATATTCGTCAACAAGAGCCTGCTTTTTTATGTCTTTGGGATACCAATGGTCAGCTACTTTATACATTCGACATAGATAACGAAGTATTGCAACACTAGAAAGCATACAAAATTTAAAAATAATTTATATTAATAATAAACTAAACAATTGAAAATTTGGAAATAACAAATGTTTAATATTTTTATGTCTCTAAATAATATTCTATATAGATGACAAGTTCTTAATCACAGACATCATTCAACTATAAATAATTGTAAATTCAACAATTAATAACAATCAGATAGACAAATTATTCTTAAATAGACTTTATTCAAATCACATTTAGAATATTTTTGAAAATAATAACCTTTCTATTAAAACTGTTCCCTTGTCATCAATAAAAGGTACTTTTTTGAACGGATTTAAACTTTCAATTTGTTTAGTGAGATGCTCTCCTATAAAAAAAAAATTGTACTTATATGTTAGCCATTAGGTCAAAGTATTAATTTTTTTATTTATGTACCTTGTCTTAAATTTAATGGTTTTGGTTCAAATGGAATTTCGGTTTTCTTCATAAATATATACAAAGCTCGGCTTGGTTGAGACAATAAATCGTAATAAAACTTTAATTTAACCATGTTAAAAAATGAAACTACCACATGAACTCAAGTTAAACCAAGGTTTTACGAAAACCTAATTATAACAGATGTATCTTAGATACATTAATATAATATGAAAAATCAATAGTAAATGGGAATAATAAATTTATTTAATTGAACCAAGCATTTTAACTTTTAAGATAAATATTAAGTCCTAATGAGCAAGGCACAAACAGACAACAGTATTAACTTCAGAATCATCAGTTGATCGGATTAGATTGTCTATTGATAAGACTAACGAGTGACGGTTCATTCCATAAGAAATACATGGGAAAAAAATTTTTTCGAAATCAATAATTTTTTTGTGTGTTTATAATCTTTTCTTAAATTGCTAACCTTAAAACCTTTAAACAATATTATAATCACACTATCACAGTCCACAGTTCTTTACAAGTTTACACGTATACACCAACCAAAAATTAAAAATTTAAAGCTAAACCCTTTTTTCGCTAATTTAAACTATTAATAATAGGTATTTTGTAATTTTTTAACACATAAAATTTAACACGTTACACAAATCATTCTGTTAAGTATTATCAATTTTTTTTTACTATAACAATGTTTACCTACATAAAAGTTAACATATCATGCTGTTTCGGGTTTCCCATCCATTTTATTCTATTTTTAATTTTGTATAACCTACTTGTACATTATTTTTAATTTTGTTTCGGCGGTCATCCGTGTCCGTGTGTCACTAATTTTCTATTTGTACATAATAAATATTAATTCAAGAATAAATTACGTAAAATTATTGTCACTAATGTCACTGAATTGATTAAATGTATTACTCGTATTCTGTTACAATTCTCAATAATTTGGATGTTATACTTTACTCGCATACATTTTACACAATATTAATATATTAGAGATATTCTTTAACGTACAAGAACGATGGATACGCTTTTAAAAAAACATAGTAACACCACTTTGTGTACGGAAATTAAATTCTATGGCGATCCAAATAATTTGAAAAAAATTTGTGGAGGGCCAGAAAAAACATAAAAAGGTTATAGTGTAGGAGTTTACATTTAATGATTCAGGTAAAAGGTTAATCGCATAGTAGTTTACATTTAACCAAATTTTTTGGGGGAGCTGTAGCCTTCCTAGGGGTAGATATGTACCGACCGACTCGTGGGGGCTATTCTCCGAACTGGGGGGCTTAACCTTCAAGCTACTCCTGAGACGGAGCTAGGTGAATTGGGTCCGCGATAATTTGGGTTCGTTTTGAAAGCGGTAAGTTGAGTCCCGGATATAAAAAAGTAATAGGTAAGTTGGGTCCCGGCTATAAATCATTGGCGCAATTAGGTCTAAAATTTTAAAAACTTAAAACTTTAATATTTCATATTTATATTATTTACCAATCCCGCCTGAGACAACAATTATTTCAAATACTGTTAAAGTATTATACGATCAACTCACGCTTTTAATTTAAAGGCTGCATCCAGATTGGTATTCATACTAAACATTTACATCCAAATTGTTTCTAAATCTAAATTAAAACTATAAAAAACTAGTTAATATTAAAATAATTTAATGCTATGATTTCAATTTTTAATAAAATATAAATTTGACATAATATAATACAACTTGTGTAAAATAAAAAAAAGTTTCAAACAAGTCAATTGACAGAATTTGGTTAAAAATACTAGAAAATAAACTAAAAAAGCAAAATATGACCTAAAAATGCGAAAAATGGCCTAAAAATTAAAAACGTTAAAAAATGCAAAATAAAAGTTTCATAGATGGATTTGTAATTACATAATTTAAATGATGTACTTACAAAGCTATGTTTTACAATCACCAAAAAAAATAAATACACTTTCTTATTAATTCACAGCCCTGGTTATCAACAATAATAATTTATTTAAAAACATTTACCATGATTGTAATTTGTAATTAAATACTTTGAAAAAAGGTAGGCAAATTTAAATAATATTTTACACAAGTCACAAGCTATATATACGGGTTAGGTAAAGATAACGATACGGGATTTAATACAATTTGCAATATATTGAAAATTATCGAGGGAACTGAACTATTCAGAACGTCTCTCCCAGATGACCTCAGCTTTGATGACATGGCTTTTATGCGATATGCTCCTATTACGTGTGTAGATTTTGAAAGGAGTTTTTCGGCATTTAAGAATTTGTTGACACAATCAATCGACAGTCATTTTTATTTGAGAACATCAAACGAGCACTTGTTATCCAATACAACAGTAAATGCTAAAGATGAATAAGGTACCCGAAAATAGATATCTTTAAGTTTGTTTTATTAATTTAACAAAATAAATACAAAACAAATTTTTTAAAAATGTTTCAGGTGAATAGTATTAACTTAATTCAGATTCAATCAACTTTTTTATTAAATAAACACTTTTTAGTACTAATGTTTAATATCCTATACCTAATATTAATATAAATATAAAAATTAAATTAAAAACATTATTAAGTTAATTTTATACTATAATTTTTGGCATTTTATATTCCTTTTTTTGCATTTTAAGTGCATATTTAATGATTTTTTAAGGTTTTTTAGTGCATTAAATTCACAGCCCTATTGATAACTCATATAAAACTGTCACTGTATGATGGGGGAATTACATATGTTGCTATTTAGATGTGTGGTGTTTTTTCGTGACACGAAATATAGACTTAATTTTCTACCAGAAGTTCAGAAACCATCCAAAAAGTTGAAGAATTTTTTCAAATACTTATTATGTTTTCTCAAAACAACAAAAAAATACATGTTATTGTAAAATCAATAGGTACATTCATTGCTCTGCTTAGAATCTAAAATAATATATTCTCGCATTTTTTCACAGGTGCTAGTTAATACAAAATTTATTATACAAAAATTAACAAACAACCAAGGTAAATAATTCTAACTAGTTAAAATTAACATAATTATGAATTTTCACTTAAACTATCACCATTTTAATCATAATATATTATAACTTGTATCATGTATTATTTTTGTTACAATTAATATTAATTTTTAGTGTTTACAACTAGTTTTTAATTTATATAAATTACCAAGAAAATTGAAAATGTTAAATTTGATTTGTAATTAAATAAGTATTTTAACTGTAAAATTAAAATGATAATAACATTTTTTCTTAACTTAACCTTTGTCTTACATGTAGGTACTTAATATTAAAAATAAATTAGTTAATTACAAGTTGACTAGACATTGTTTGCATAGAAATATCAGTCTAAATAAAATAATTTCAACAAAAAGATTAAAACATAGAAAAATGAAAAATAATACAAATAAAATTTGTCTTTAAGAATAATTTGTTAGTTAACAATAATTTAAAGTTTACTATTTCTAGAAATATAATTCAATATTATAAAAATGTATTTGAAGTACTTTTATAAAAATGTTCTTACATTTAAGAAAAAATAACAAAAATTGCAAAAAATAAATTTTTTAATTTGTTCAATTTTAATCTATTATTAAAATAAAAATTTATGAGATAGTTAACGATCACAAACTGTTTTTAAAATACAAGTCTTAAAATGGTTTATGTTGAAATTTACAACTAAAAAGAAATAAGCATGTAAACTAAGATTGAGCTGATTAAATTATATTAATTTGATTCTCACTAAATTTTAATACTTAATTATACATAATATTTAACAAGTATTAAGTGATTTAATTAATCTATCATAATACAATTGGTGCTAGGCAGATTAATAGTTAAATAATAAATAAAAGAAATACGTCTGTCATAAAAATAGAAATCCAAATTTTTTTCTCATGCTAGATGTAGACGGCATGGACATCATCCACTTTCTAAGGCCAATCAGTACAACTGATGAAGTCACTAACACTGCTCCTATTATACTGAAAATATTAGGTACCTCATTGAAAAATATTATCTGCCACACGAAAGCAAACACCACATCAACAGTCCTTGCAATAGCCACCAATCCAGCTTCCTCAAGTTGGGCTGCAATGGTTAATAATATTTGTCCAGAAAAACTAAACACACCCAGAGCGATTACTAAAATTGTTTCAGTACCGCATTTTGGCCAACACAAGTTTCCTGTAGCCCAAGCCATGGTAGATGTTTGAATGATAGAATAAGTGGCAAACGTCACCATGATGACACTGAAATGTAAGTTCTTCAGAGCTCTTAGTAGTATATAAACAATAGCTGCAAAAAATGTTGACAGTAAAGCAGCTAATGGGGCTAAAAAATTATAATGTTTGGTCGAATGTCCAAATAAAATAGGAGGTCTTGTGATCAATAAAACTCCAATCATTGTTAAGAGTAATGTTAAGTAGTGAAATAGTCCACATTGTTCCTTGAGAAATATCCTAGCGAATACTGCAACTACAACAGGTACACTGAATATAATTACCGAAGCATCAGCTAAGGGCATGTGTCTGATGGCATAGAAGATGAGAGACAAAGAAGTGGCTCCGGCAAATCCACGAAGTAACAGCATCAGTCGTTGACCTTTGGGAAATGGATTCTGATTCTTGTAGATCAATATGGGTAGCGAGGGAAGTAGTATCCCAACAAAACGAATGGCGGCCAATTCCAATGGATCCATGTCTTTGAGCCATTTGACTATTAACGAACTCAGAGAGAAAAATAAGGATGATATTGCAGCCAACAATAAACCCAGAACTTTTATTTGCGATTTCGGAGACGTCGTGACGTTTAGTGTTACCGGCGAACTTGTTGATGGTGTATCCGACTCGATTACCAGATTTCGGAGTTCTAGTCGTTCAGCCATTTACATGATTTGAATATTACTTACTTTATAGAAATATTTACACGTTCGAAAGCAGTGTACTAGACTAATACTTTACCCTAGATCCGATTCATTAGACATTGAAAAGATAAACAAGGACTGATATCCGAGTTATTTATTTAGAATAGGTACTAAGTAATAAAAAAATATCTTAAAAAAAATGTAAAAATGTGCAGGATCGTGAATCTAGCAAAATAGCACCTCATTCCACAGATATTATAGAAAATAAAAATTATTTAATTTATTGATATGATATCAGATACTGAGATTATTCTATCTGATAATGTAATCACTGAATCCACAAGCCGGCAATTATTGGTAGGTATGATTTAAAATTTAAAACAATAAATATAGGTTGAACATCGAAAAAATCGTAACTTAAATGTTTTAGTCAATAAAAAAAATAACTAGGTTTTAAGTCATGTGCTTAGTGCATTGGTTAGAACCTTAACGCTTTTTCAAAATACTGTTCAGTGAAGTCGATACACATAAAATATTTTATTTTTTTTTTTTTTGCTACTAAAATAATAGATTTTATACTTATTGTCAATAAAATAATACTGTGAATTCCATAAAAATATTTATGCCCTAAGCCTCGAGTCAACTACTTCTGTTGCCCTTGTGGCAGCTTCGCTAATGTCACTGTAGTCATATGGTTTGACTAAAAAATTTAAAGGAAGAAATTAAAATGTAGATATCTTATGAATAGCATAATTTTAAAGCAGATTTGGATTTTTCAACTTGCACACATTACATTTTTAAACAACAATTCAACTTACATATTTAAATCAAACACAAAACATATGTCAAAAAAATTTTAAATTACTCGGGTTTTTTCTGTTTACAATAATCTTTTTGCATTCTTTGAAGAAACATGACTTGGTAATTTAATTGAATAGTAGGTAATCTTAATTAATATAGCTATAACATAATAAGACTATGCAGTATGCAACATATCATTAAATAATTTACTTATATAAATTACATATAATATATCCGACATTAAAATTTATTTATTAAATGACCTATAAATGTAAAATAATATATAGTACAAAATTTGTATACATAATATACTACATAAATAGTGCATGTACCTTGATACTTGTTATATAGAAAAGAATTAATAATAGTTAGGATAGTAAAGCTATCTTTTTCTTTAAATGTAAAATTTTGATATTCTTAATGAAGATTATTATTGCTATAAATTATATCTCAAATAGTATGATAATATTTAATTTATATTTTTTTTTGAATTAAACAAAATATAAAAAAACAATGTAAAACACTGCTGATTTCCAAAAATGTAGTTCATTACTTTCAGTGGCGTATCCAGGATTTTTTTTAGGGGAGGGGCACACACTGTCTAAAATTTTACCATATATACTACCTACTACCAAAAACAAAAAAATAAAATAAACCAAATATTTAATGTTTATAATGCAAATAATTTGTTTATATTTTCAGTCAGTCATTAATATATTTTTATATATATATATATATATATATACATAATAATAAATAGTAATAGTAATTTAATAATAAAAAGGGGTTAATCCCAATAAAGTTATAAGTTTATGTAATGCTGGTATAAGAGTATTATTGTAGTATGTGTTCATTGCGTTTATGTATACAAATAAATTTAAATCTTTAAAACAAAATCTAGTAAATACGGCCAATGAGGGATGGAGGGGGGGTCATGGTCCCCTGTGGATACGTCACTGATTACTTTGGAACTAAGTTTATTTGAAAACAAAAACCTTTTTGAATTTCCATTCAATGTAATTTAATTATTTTATTATATACTTAATCAGTAAAGTGTTCGATAAAACTGAGTTTGAGTTATTTGTTAAAACCTTCTTTAATAAAAAGTATATACATTGTGTTTTATTGTTATTGTTCCCATGACACTCAAACACACACATCTACGGTCTTCTGTAAAAACCTCGAGGTTTTAAGAACTATTTAAATTCTTAATGGAAACTAATAATTGAGTATTTATGGAGACATAAGTGAATAGTATATTTGTAGAGTAATATAAAATATTGATAATAGAAAAAATTAACTATTTATAGATTAGTATATTTCTGGACAGTTGCAATGAAAAAACAAGGTTGCATAAAATATTAGCTTTATTATACAGGTTTATATAATATTTTAGTATACAATAAAAAAAAAAAAAATTTTGACTCAAAAGTTCATCTTTGTATTGAATATACTTAATATTTAAATATTATTATTTAACCAATTTATATAAAGAAAAATTTATCTTAAATTATAATAAGTTTAAATAATAAACATTATTATAAATAAACATGCGTTAAACATTTAAGTAGAAGTTCCATGATATTAGAACTAATACTGAAAATGATATAATGTTAACTGTAAAGAAATAAACAATTAATAGTATCTAATATTTATATTTGTTTTTTTACCTTGCTACTACCAGAATAATGATTCTTATAGTTAACAATATCACCGAGATCGTGTTGTTTAAATTTTTCTGAGACCAAGTTAATTAAACAGCTGTAACGCAAAGCAGAAACATCTAAATGATCTTCCTTTAAAATATATAAATAAAATTATTAAATATAAACATAATATGAAACATAGATTTAAATTCTACATACAATTTCTGCTCGTGCATTAATAAATAGCTGTGTAAGTATACGCATGTCTGATAACAGAGTTTCACATGGATCACTATCCATACTAGCATACACTGAAAATGTCCAAGAAGTTACATCACTGGTATTAATTATTTTTTTCATAATCCATTGAACGAAGTTAGAAATAACAGCAGCACAATGGCTCTAAAAAATTACAATTAATACATTATTCATCAAACAAATAAATTATATAGATAACAACAAGTGTATAATATTATATTATTTTAATTATCATAGGCTATATATTTTTTAAATTACTTGAAAAAAATAAACAATCTTGTCAATATTATGCACAGGATTTACTGGTGTAGAAGCATTAATTTGTCTTCCAAATAAAAATGTAAACCAAGCAGTTGGTGAATTAGACACTGGCTAAAAATTATTTAATTAGTATTTATCAATAAAATATAGTTAGAAAGTATAGTAATCAATTTGTATTTTAATAAATATAAAATATAATTATAGTCCCATGACATACCAATATATTTTGAGGATGAGTAATACATTTTCTGGTATCCTGAATTTTGGTTCTGGCATCATCATACTGTTCAACGTATGACATTATTTCGGCTTTAGTTGGCAGTAATTTCTTATTTTTTATACTAGGCAATTCAAGTTGAGGCTAAAAAATTATTATCATATTTGTTTTATTTTAATTTTAATAACAACTTGGTAAAATCATAAATTATTACTCAATAACAAATTTAATTTTTGGTAAATTAATATGATTAAATTTCCAGTTTGATATTTATGACTAGAGCCAGGAAGTTGATGCATTTGCATATTTTTACTGAATGCATCAAAAAGTCGCTGGATGAGCAACAAATTTGAATTGCAACCTAACAAGTTCAAAAATAAAATTTCAATTTGCATATTTTTACATATTTTGATGTTTTTTTTACATAAATATGCATATTTTAAAATAAAATTGCATTTTATTGTATTTTACTTATGATTTATTTATTTTTATTAATATTTCATGAAAATATTGCCAAAATGAAATAAAAACCTGTTTAAAATTATAAGTAGTACATAATTTAATATTATGTAATTAGTAATTTATATCCTGATAGGCGATAAGCACATTAAACTTCTGGCTAAATTTAATTACACCTTAATTCCTAGTTGTAAATTTTAATTCTTGAAATAAATACAAAATTTATCATATTAATTAAATTTTGCATGTTTTCTATATTTTAATTATTATTTTTACTAAAAATGAAAATACTTAACGTTTTAAAAAAAATAAAAATAATAATGCATATTTTAATGATTTTAAGTACATATTTTGACAGTTTTTAGTAAATGAACTCCCAGGCCCTAATTATGATATATCAAAAATAAGTGTTAAATACATAAGGCTTTTTTCCTATTCCCAAATCAATTGCATAATATTAAAAAAAAAAAAGATAAGGTAAAAACAAATTATTTTAAAAATAAAGTTAACCTCCCAAGCATTTTTTGGTTAATTATAATTAAAATATTTTCATAGAATTAAAACATTGAGGATAGGATCCAATAGGTATACAGAATAACTTCATCTGGGCCATATTGATGAAAAACCACCACCTAGTTTCGCATCAATTATCACAGCAATTAATATCTTTTATTTAAACTACATTTTTGTGTTTAACACAATTAAATATAAACTAGTAAAATATTCATGTATACTGTATACTGTTGCAAAAGAATATAAAATTTTGAGAACAATAGTCCAAGATTTTTTGATGTCAGTGGTCAATCTCAGATATTTAATTATGTCAAAAAACACGAATGTGTAGTTTAAATGAGAGATATTAATTGCTGTGATAATTGATACAAAACTAGATGGTAGTTGCTTTTTCAGCAATAGGTATAATTGTTTATGTTATTGATTTATATATATGATTGAATACAAAAATATTACAAAAGCATCACAGTAAATTGTGCTTTATAATGTATTTAATCAATAAACTTATGTCATTAATTTAAGTAATGTATATTTTGAAAAATTTTAACTTGTTTGTTCAAATAATTTAATTTTACCCAAGTAGTTACTAGTTAATGGGCAAAATATATTTCAATACTAACTATTAAATATGTAGAAGCATTGCTTTCAAATTTGTTAATGAATTGTTGAAGTTCAACATTAGTAGCAGTCATAACTGGAGGCAATTTATCTTCCATTTTTCTATAAAACAAAGAATATACATGAATACAATGTTCAAAAAAAATAAAAATTATAACAAAAATCAAGTAAGTAACAAATATATACCTAGCCATATAAAGATATTCATGTCCATTTTGAGGATTGTCAATTTGGTCAACTCGGCGAATTTGATTCCGGTCGATGGGTAATCTATATGGTCTACCAGTTAAGTCATCACTGAAATTTAAAAATTATTAATAAACTTAATGTTATTTTGAAAAAGTATTACATGATATATTACAGAGACGAATGGCGTTTCAATTTTGATGCTTTTCCACTTCTGCGGCCCATGTTTTTTTTTTTTATCAAAACGATTATTTGAATAGTTTTAACAATAAATGGCACGATGTCTTATAGTATTTGTCTGTACTCTGTACATTGCTATAGTAATCGTATTTAAACAATCTTGTATATTTTATTTTTCCAAAACTGGCTTATAACAAAATTTTCTCAAGGTATAAGATCGTTCAAATATAAATCAACAAAATATTAACGTAAAATGTAAACACTAAACAACTTAATTTAGAATTCCGATACTAAAACCCACTGTGTTATTATCAAAATTAAAAGAAGATAAAAATAAAGTTGTGATAGTAATACAGTGTTTCATTTATAAAAAAGCAAACATTTTCATTCAAAAATTATTTGAGTTATTAATAAGACAGTGGTCAGTGAAACCTTAAATTATTTTATAGAATTGCTGTCTGCTACGTATGACTAAAATTTGTATAAATAAATTTTTTATTTTGGTGAAGATAGTAAGTATTTTAATAGTATATCTTAGTTACATTATTGCAATTTCTTGTTTCATCACTCGTCAATAGTTTAATAACTATGTAAATTAGTTAGAATAAACAATAAATAATATAAAAATATGTAATAGGTAAATCGAATTTATATTTCAAATGCTATTAATTATTGGATTGCTTGATATGATTTTTTTCAAGCTACTAAATATTTGTTTCAACTAATTTGAAGTAAATAATATTTTAACAAATTATTTTTAGGTCATTTTTTTGATAAATGTACATTTTATTTATGACAATATGATGGTTCATTATCTGACCATGACTTTCATGTACCTACATTATATACATACATTTTAAAATTGGCTATTTGAAACGTTTGAGTACTAAATGTTAATTCAGAAAATACGTATGGTCAAATATAACACTTATTTTAGTTACATTACACTAGTATTAAAAAAAGTTAATGATCGAATTACACTTAAGTAAAAAGTAGATAATGATCTAATTTCAGTATGGTGCAAAAAAGACATTTTAACAAATGGTATGCATTTGAAGGGGTCGGAGACCGCTCAAGAGACCTCCCCTCCCCCCAAACTCATGTTTCTAAAAAATTGTATTTTATTAAAAATAAAATTACTCAATAAAACATACCATAGGTACCATTAACTATTATAGACACATACAAGTACTTACCTACCTGTGTAGTTAGGGGTATGTATGTATTTATTATCTATACCCTGAAGTATAAATAAACTATAACAATAAAAAATACTATGGTGCAGGTATGATATTATTATGAATATAATGATTTAGCCGTTCTCTCTTAATAAAGTATCTGGAAACATTCCTAGATGGGATTAAATGTTTTGAAAAAACTAATTTCACTTATATTATGTAGAATTGTCATCAAGTATCGAAAAAATGATAAAAGCGATAACAGATTACACACACTTATGTTCATTTACTACTAACATATAGTAATAGTCAAAATGTTCATGTCAAATAAATTGCCTAAGTACTACTCCTAAAAATACGATCGCTGGAGCCCCTTAATCGATATTTGTTTTAGTTTCTAATTGGTTAATAGGTATAGTGTCGCGTGTGCGTTATTGATAGATTTTGGTAAAATCTGAAGGTATTTTTTGTTGTTCGTGATACATATTTTTTCGTGTTCGATTTATGTCACTATAATAATAACTGTACGAATTCTGCAGGAACGTCGACGAATTTCGGAAACGTAAACAATTATTTGCATTAGCCGTCTAAATGTTCTAAACGACATTTACGTACGACGCGCACTGATATAATATTACGCGGCTATCGAACACGCGCCGCGACGTTCGTAAAACACGAGACGAACACAATTTCCAACGGTTAAATTTCGTTTATTTTTCGAACACTAATCGCAACCGCTGTTACTGAACGAGCGCGCCGCCCGTCGTGGTCGTCATTCGTTTCGGATCACTCGAAGTTGTTCGGGCAATCGTCGTAGTCGTCCGGTCCCGACGCGAAATCACTCTCCGAACAAGACGTATGGTACCGATCCGAAACTCTGGAGTCGCCAAATCCAGTAGCTTGGCCGCTTCTCGACAACGACCAGGGGCCGATGACCGCCGAGCCCGGCATGCTCACGTCTTCGACGAGATCGTAAGCGGGCGGCCAGGCGTCGGCGGCCGCGTGTTCGTCGGGGCTACGGTTGAAGTCGTCCTGGAAGCTGAAGTCGTGGCTCGCGCCCAGCGTCATGCCGCCCTCGGGCGGATATCGATCGCTGCAGTTGTTCATCGCTAAATAATTGTCCGTCCGACGATCGTAGTTCACGTATTGGTCGGGAGCGCGACGCGCGGCTAACCGCATTTCGATCGAACTGTCGGCCGAAGTCAGCGTGGACAGCGAACCCGAACTGTCGTAGTCCCGGCGGAATCGGCCGGTCTGCATGATACTCGAGTTACATCGATCGGGTCCCGTCTCGGCGGACCAATCGCTCGGCGCCGCGGAACTGGCGTCCGATAGGTCAGCGTCGTCGTCGGCGCGAAAATCGTTGGCCGGCGACGGCGGTGCGCGCGTTATTACCGCGGGAAGGTCGTCGACCGTCCTCTCGGACGTCATAAACCGAGACCGGTCTTCTGTAATGCGCCTGTCCGAAAACGCGGAATAGCTGCTGACGTCTGGATCCCAGTCGGCGGCGGATGCGCAAACGTCGTCGGCGTTGGCCGCGGTCGACGGCGATGATGCCGGTGATGCCGGTGACGGCTGTGACGGCAGGGATTGTAGTGACGGCGGCGATTGTGGTGACGGCGGCGATTGTGGTGACGGCGGTGAATGTGGTGACGGCGGTGACGGCGTTGATGCCGGCAGCGGCGACGGCGGTGACGGCAGCGATTGTGGTGACGGCGGTAAATGTGGTGACGGCGGTGACGGCTGTGACGGCAGCGATTGTGGTGACGGCGGTGTATGTTTTATCGTTGGACGATCGTCGACCATCCTCTCGGGCGTCAGGAACCCGGACCGGTCTTCTGTAACGCGCCTGTCTGAAAACGCGGAAACGTCAAAACTGACGTCTGGATCACAGCCGGCGGCCGATGCGTCGAATCTGTTATCGTTGGGTTCTGCAGACTGACCACGAGTAGTGACACTCCTGTTCGAACACGTCAACTCCGAAATGTCGATCCGCGTTGGTGGTGGCTGTTGTTCCAGAATTGCTGAAAAACAAAATAAAACATTTTTGAACATCTCTACAAGTAACTAGCAAAATATTTTCAAATTTCATAACACACGTAACGAGTCGCCTGGTACGAACGAGTTATATGTAGTTGCTGAAACGTTGGCAAAAAAATAAAAGTAGCCCTTTTACTGATATTGAACTTTTTAAAAAATGCACGTTAGTCGAAGTGCACCGTATATGAAGTGTGTCTGGAAACAATTAAAACTATTTAAAGAATTCTGTCTTTCTGTCTGTCGACTCCGGACGTGCAGTGTGAGGCGAACTGAGGAATTGAGAAACAATTTATTTTCACAATTAAAAGATAATATCACACCGTCATTGGATTGTTTTTTGATAGTTTTTGACGAGAGCACAGATATTTCTAACACAAATCAAATTTTAATACTTATAAGTGATATAGGCGAGGAGTTTTATATTTATGAAGAGTTAGTACATATATGTTATATAAAAGGTACTAAAACAGGTGAAGATATATTCTGCCAACTGAAATATTACTTCACGGTGTTTCCAGGTAGTAGGTGTATTGCCGATTAGGTAAAAGACATATATAAAAAAAACTTTAACAAATATTACTACTGATGGAGGAAAAATATAAGTGGAATAAATAAAGGTTTTGTTGGGAGGACCAAGACTAAAATTATTGATAATAAATTAGAAATTTTATGGTTTTTTTATAGTACCATATACTAAGAGGAATAATTATGATGGAAAGTCTTGGCTTGCAAAAATGTCATGGATATACAATTGTATCACCAATAAACTATACACTAAAAAAATGGGCCGACTTATCGATAATTCCAACAATTTTCGAAAGAAATTAAAGTTGAATATGGTAATGTTATTTATTTGACGGAAGTTCGTTACTTAAAAAGGAGTTCAGCTTTAAAATATTTTAGGGAGGAAATAAATATATTTATGAAAAAAAAAGAAAAAATATTCCCCAATTATTATCTGATAACAAATGGTTACTTGACTTTGCTTTTTTAACTGATATAAGCACATTTTTAAATGGACTAAAAGTAAAATTACAAAGAAAAGAAAAATTACTACCAGATATATATTATGATATTAAATCATTTTCAGTAAGTTAAAATTATTTTACAAGCATATTGACTTCAAAATTAAATTATTTCTAGACCGGTTTGTAGTTGATATTGGTGACGTTGAAAGTTGTTTACTAATGGAAATTATTGAGTTGCAAAGTAACGAATGTCTTAAAATCGCTTTTCGTGACGGCTATAACTTAATTCTGTTTTATTCGAGTCTCCGTGAAACAAAATTTAACAAAATATTTTAATTTGCTAAAAAAATGTTGACCGTGTTTGAAATCACGAATATTTGCGAGCAAAGTTTTTCATTAACGAAATATTGAAAAAACAAACATGCTTGGCGATAGTCACTTAAACGGTGTATTGAGAATTTCTACATAGGAAATCAAACTTTTTATCAATAAACTTATTGATGCTATTCAAATTCAAAAATTACATTAACTTTTATTTATTTCAAATGGTCGAGCCCATATGTTATATTATATTATTATTATTCTAATTTTGTTTGTAGATACCTCGATAATTAATATATCAAACAGTGACGAACTTAAATAAATTCAATTTGATTTAATTATAATCTTTTGTTAAAATAAAATAAGGTGTATTCGAATTATGGGCCGTAAAAAAATGTATTTTTATTTTTTGGCCCTTGACACCAAAGAGGTTGCTGACCCCTGACATAGTGTACCGTCATGTGAAGTTTCACAGCTGTTTTTTGAAATCTGTTTTTTTTGTCTTAACTTGCAAGCACTTGGTTGCTGCTCATCTTTTTTTGACTGAAGGTTGGAATAATTAACTAGTGTTACACCAGTCATTTTAAAAATAAATTTTGCATCCGGAATTAGTGTAGTAGAGTACAGTTTTGGATCTAAAATCTTGTTACCAGGAAATATTTTACAAGACACTATTGCTAATGCAGCATCGTCGATTTGCTGTTGGTTGCACTGTTGGTTTGTTATATTTCTGAAAAACAAAAAATAAATATAAATTTCAAAATTAAAAAAAAAAAAAAAAGACAAGTGGGTATTACTCTACTGTAGGTACAGTAGTTGTAAAGTGGGTCATTGTGAAGGATGTCTTAAATTTGAATTCAATGATAACACCATTTTATACGTACACACAAAAAAAAAAAACAATTTTGAGCAGAAATTGATTATTTTTTGATATTGCTATTAAAGTAATTTTTTTTCTATTTATAACACAGTAGGATGAATTAGTTTTTCTCGTAAACATTGCATTTTAAAATGTTATCGTTCCAACGAATAATGTTTTTTAATTATAACAAAGTAATGATTATCGTTATTCATAGTTTAAATATGTGATTTCGTCCAAATTTTAATTTATAATGTCTATAAAAAATAATTATGATAACATATTTTTTTGAATTTATGACCTTGGTAATTACTTATTATTTATTAACATTGCAATAAATTGTCAAATCTGAATTATAACAATTGCACATTTTATAAATTTTTAACTGTAAAACAATTTTTAAATCTTTTCGTGAATTTTAGGTTAGGTTAGGTTAGTTTTTTTAATTTAGCTTAAACATTTATGAAAAAATATTGTAGACGATAAATTGTCCGTATTTTTTAATTGCTAAATAAACAACTAATGAGGAACCATGTACTAAATTTTTAAATATTTTTACTCAGTAAATAATTTTTTATCGATATTTATAAAAGAAAAACTAAAAAAATAGAGATTTTTAAATCTTTATAAATAGCTTAAAGGACATTAAAATGGATAAAAAATTAAATTATGTATAAAAAATGATCATATAAACTTCCGATGAACATTTCAAATATCTAGGGTAATTCATTTTTAAGTTTTATAAATAAATAAAAACGAATTTTAAACTACATATTATAAAAGTTGGGATTTGAAGCATTTTTCAACTACTTATTATGTATACATAATATATTAGTACATATAATAGCTACATATATATAAAAGAAAAATACATCATTCTTAAATCAGACGCTGAGCTCGGAATCTAATACTTATCTGGATTACTTACACATCAATTTCAATATAGCCTGGTGTTCGTTTGGGTCTATTAACTTCATTACTTAAAATACTATACGGATGCCAACTAAAAGAGGTTGCAACTACTTTTGATACTTGGTCAATTGGAATAATATCATCACATCTACAAAGAAAAAAACATTGAAATTTAAATACTTAATACATTATTTTAATTCGATTATAATTACTGGTTTCTGTGTTTACTGTTGAAATGTTTACTTCTGAAAAATTAAAATTTTTAGTTAGTTAACGAATTTATGTAGTGTAAAAATTTCAATAAAAGACATACTCGGTTAAAATTTGAAAGCGATTTAAGTATAGTTCCCATTGGTTATGATCAAAATTACTCGGCAATTTAATAGACGTTGGATTATACCACGTATAAATTGGGAAGTCCGACCTAACATAAAACGATTGCACAAAGTAAGGTGAAGTTTTAATTGTTGTATAAGAACGCATATCTGTAGCTACAGCTGCTGAACGTTTGTGTTTAATTTCTTTTCTGTTATCCTCGTTGGTTAACGGTTCATCAGTAATATTATTATCTTGTAAGAATTTAATCATATCCATCTATTTATGCATAATATATAGCAAATATTAAATTAATTGATTAAATAAATGAAAAAAGGTGAGCATTTTACTGTATTATCAGACATCAATTCTAAATCATTAAAATCATCGGGTGGAGGTTTTAAAAACATTTGAAATGATCGATCACTTCTTAATGATATAAATAAAATTTTTATGAGATGCATTTTTAAAGCTGTATTTTCATTATCTAATCGAGTTAACCACGAAGAATAATTCAATTTATCTAGAGAAAAACATATTACATATTTACTATATTTTCAATGTAGATACTTCTTATATTAATACTATTTTTCTTTACAATACCTGTTTCATTATCTAGCCTCATTATAGATAGATGGTTAATTTGTCGGTAAAAATCATACTTAGTCGCATCATCTGTCTGTTGCTTTATGTTTGTCCTTTTTATAATTCTTGGTGAACATTCAGTACGAGTTTTCATTTTAAAATTAAATTGAAATTGAAATTTATTAATTTATGAAATAAAATGAATAGAATAGATTTGTTGTATTTATGTTCTTGAGCTATTTGTTGTTTTTTTTATTAGTAGCCACGAGTAATTTTGAAAAAAAAATACGTTAAATAAGAAACATATAAATTGTATAAATATGAGCTATGTGCCTACGAACTCAATGAAACTAGTAAAATATTCATGTTTATTATATTCTGTGGCAAGATAATATAACATTTTGAGAACTATAGTCCAAGATTTTTTTGTGTCAGTGCCAGATATTTAGTTGTGTTAAAAAACATGAATATATAGTTTAAATAAGAGATATTAATTGCTATGATAATTGATATGAAACTAGGTGATGGTTTTTCATCAATATGGCCCAGATAAGTTACTCTGTATACCTACTGGATCCTATCCTCACTATGTTCTTATTCTATGAAAATATTTTAATTAAAATTAACCAAAAAATGATTAGGAGGTTAACTTTATTTTTAAAATAATTTGTTTTTACCTTATCTTTTTTTTTAAATATTATACAATTGATTTGGGAATGGGAAAAAAGCATTATGTATATAACATTTATTTTTGATGTATCATAATTAGGGCTTGTAAGTTCATTTACTTATAAGTTATAACTGTCAAAACATGTATAGGAAAAACATGCACAATTTAATTAATATGATATATGTTGTATTTACTTCAAAAATTAAAATTTACAACTAGGAATTAAGGTGTAATTAAATTTAGCCAGAAGTTTAATGTGCTTATCGCCTATCAGGATATAAATTACTAATTACATAATATTAAATTATGTACTACTTATAATTTTAAACAGGTTTATTTCATTTGGCAATATTTTCATGAAATATTAATAAAATAAATAAATCATAAGTAAATACAATAAAATGCAATTTTATTTTAAAATATGCATATTTATGTAAAAACATCAAAATAAAAATATGCAAATTAGAGATTATTTTGAACTTGTTAGGTTGCAATTCAAATTTGTTTTGCTCATCCAGCGACTTTTTGATGCATTCAGTAAAAATATGCAAATACAAGAACTTCCTGGCCCTAGTCATAAGGAATACGTACGCTGAATATGGTTAGTTAATAACAATTTGTCTGTTAGTATCGCATTATATATTTTCGTCTAACGTTAATATAGTTATTATAATATTCTATAATAAATACATTTTTTTGCTGTGAAAATTAAATTAAAAATACTTTATTTAATAATTTTTGAATTTTTAGTAAAAAATAAAATATTTTTAAGGGCATAAATGCATACATATTTTAAGGTTATTTAAAGCATGAAATCCCTAAAACCTCTATTTATTATATACCTATTCAATTAATCAAAGAAATAAATTAACTTGATTAAGTTTTAACAATTTAATAAGATTATCTTATAACATAAACAATATGCTTATATAAATGTGTTTATGTATGTATTCTATGTATAGTAGCCAGTAGGTACACAATGTTTTATTATTTTTTAATTTCTGTTTGTATTATTTATTATTATTTATTTTACTACTTTAATTAAAATTAAATACCTACCATAAAAAAAAAAAAAATTATACTTATTATGACCTTTTAAATTTGGAATAAATTCTTCGGCATAAGAGATTTATATAATTTAAGTATTGAATATTCTAAGAATAATGGCGGGATAAACGAACATCAGCGCAACTGTCTTGTAAATATCGGGCCAAAAATAGAAAAAGTGCGCTATCTTGTTGCAGCCGTTTATTACAAGTAACACCTGTTACATATAGTTTAAAAATATCAATAATTTAATAATTTGAAATTTCCTAAAATTCATAATTTCATTTAAACATATGATTTCTATTGTAATTAATTATAAATTATATTATATACGATAAGGGGGAATAGAGTATAATTTCATGTATTCTTTTATTCCTTAAAAACAATAACTAATTTGAGATAAATATTTTTAGTTATAGAATAGTTAAATATTCAAGAGAGATAAATCCTAACAAAATTATGAATTGTTGGTAAATATCTGTTAAATTCGTTTAAAAATGTTGGTAAATAACAGTTTATTATCACTAGTTAGACTGTTCCATAATCGTATAATACTTTTGTAAATATGTAATGGTAAATAATTGGATAGTATTTTTGCAAGTAAAAAAAATAATCCTTTTCACACATATTATAATATAAATAAGTTTTCGACGTTATAAATATATATGTATATGTAAATGAGACAAGAAATATAATCGTGTTTAGTTATAGTTAGTAGCAAAGCTGAATTTTGGGGAGAATAGGGGGTCTCGGGCCACTACAAAATGAGCGTCTTCACAAAGTGATTTTTTTATTAACGTCCAATTATAATGAACAATATAGGAAATGTTTTATATAGTTTTATTGACAAAAAGGGAACATCTCCAGAAATTCGAAATTCAAAATTTTACAGGAGAGACAAAAAACTTGTTTTGGTAATAACGATCAGATTTTTAAAGGATTTAATGTTTACGTCAATATTTTAACTATAGTAATAGTATCTTATACACCTGTAAAATAGTGAACAGTTTTACCAGAATTTTTAATGTAATAAAATAAAAAATAAGAAATGGACATAAAATGGAAAAAGATATTTTCAAATAATCTACAGTGTATTTTTTTTAATATAAAAATAGCGTTGCATGTATGTATTTGACCTTTATAGAAGAACGATCATTTTTTTAAATGAAATTAATAAAAAACATATTACGAACTTTGATGACACAAAGTTGATTATCAGGCCTTGCACTTACAAGTATTGAAAGAGACATAGATATATAGATCATTAGATTTATCTCAAGTGGTTGGAAAATTTGTAGCAACAAAATCTCAAAAGTTTTTGTATAAACTAAATATATAATTTAGTAAAATTAACTGTTGTTATTTTATTTTATTATTTATTTTTTATGTTGATTATTTTAAGATAATTAAATGTTTTCAACCATACTTTTGATTAAAGTATTTTTTTGCACTCAATTTTAATACATATATTCGAAAAAGTAATAACCATTACTTAGGATCTAAGGATTGATCAAAATCTCCACACTTCTTAAACCGGCCCAGGTTAGCGGCGACTAGAGTAAAGTAATGAATTGGAACCTAAGCGATAAATTTGCAAATCATAAAGTGCGGAATACAGCCATTTTTAGGAAAGTTAAAAAAAAACATGAAATTAACAGAATATTAAATTGTTTTCAATACTCAAAAAATAAACTTTATGTTCATAACAATATAATGGATATAATATTTAAAATCGTGCTGTAAGAAATATTATATTATTAACTATTAATAATATGAGTCTGGAGCGGTTAGTACTCATATAATCTTAACCGAATTATAGTATACCAGTTTACTAACAAAATAAACTTACTTTTTAACACTCAAATTGTATCATTAACTTTTGATATTGATCTATTTATACGAAGGGCACTGAGAAGCCAAATACTAATACGATTACAAATGAACAATCCAATTTGCAATGTAGAACATCGTTGTAAATTACCCCCCGAAATACACTCCTTTCTTTCTTTTCATACGGGAGTCACGTATATGATGAATATTTTAATAGAAATGTTGTTATAGTGGAAACATTGTTTGTTTTATAAGAATAAATAAACAAAAACTTGAAGATAATAATAATATAATAAGAAATAATGATTGTATGCGTACAAACGATTCAAATTGTTGGATATGAATTTTTATTAATCACTTAAATGTTTATTTATTTCAGATTTGGTGGTTTATATTTTTATTAAAGGGATTGGTTGCATTACCAATATGTACCAATCAAACAAGTATTAAAGACTATGCGGTATTAAGTGCACTTTTACCATTGCATTCCGGCGACGACTGTTCTGAGACACAAATTAGAGGTTTACAACAGTTGGCTGCTTTGGAGTACGGACTCAGTAAAGTAAATGCAGATCTTAGTAAATATGGAAACTTAAAAATCAGTGAGTAAAATTATTGATAAGTATTATTAATTTGTTTTTTAAATATTTGAATTGTTAGACTTACAGATTTTGGACACTTGTTCTAATTCAAATAGAGCTGTAAAAGCCACTATGAAAGGATTGGTTTCTGTTGACGATCAAACATGCATTAAATCTCCATTATTTTTAGGTTTGATACTAACATGTCATTTTACTTTAGAACAGTGATGTTATTTGGTTAAGGCAGATCTATAGTGATTAACGATCAAAACAAGTGGTTTTCAAGATAATAACTACTTACATAATTATCGGATCTGCCATTATTTTCCCTATATATTTTAGAAAATCTCGAAATGACATTACTATTCTATACAGGACTATCTTACATTACGATTCTATACAATACCAAAACATTATATTAAATTTAATAATTTAGGATACATAGGACCAGACGATTTAGAATCATTTATTAATGTACATAAAATAACATTTTTACTAAACAAAACTCATGTTTTGCCATACAAAATTGACCTGAAAGAAAAACCTGCAAATGTTTTTTTTATTGGAGCAGACCAGACTGGAATTAGAGCAAAAGTAATAAAAATATCATATATTTTGTTTAGAATATTATAAAATAAATATTAATATTGGTCGAATTAATTTGTTTTAATAAACAGGCCATTCTTACAATGTTAAGTAATTTAGGATGGGAAAATTATGTATCAGTAATAGAAGATTCCATTCAAACTACTAATTTATTAGATATACTTGTGGATTTGTCAGATGGAAAAATCTGTCCAGTAGGAAAACCAATTATGTTACCTAAATCGGAAAATGGGTATACTACAATTTACAAAGAAATAGTTGAAAGTATGATTTTTGTAATATTGTAGTTTTTAATAGATTTTAGATACGCACATAAAAATGTGAACGTATAAATATAATAATATAATCAACAATTCTAAAATGTTTTTCAAGCTTTTAATAGTTAGTAGTTTTTTATTTTCATAATGAAAACAAACCGAGTTAAATATACGGTTAGAGAAGGAATTAGTGAAAAAAACAATTTTATCACAAAAATTTATAATATTAGCATTTTTAATTTCCATAATCAAGAAATCATTATATAGTAAATATATTGATTATAATATAATATTATAAAATTTTAACTAGCTACAATAAAAATATCTAAAATTATTAGTAATTACCTACTTGTAAATATAATTTTTTTTTCGTATTTTATACATTATTAAATTGTCATTAATTTAACAATATAATAATTTTTTTACCTAAAACATTTTAAAAATATGAAACTTATAATTTTAGTTTTTTTATCTACTAAGTATTCTTTAGGTCATACATTTATGAAAACAATTTTTTATTGATCCCTTATAATTTTGCTATCTATATTCATTAAATAGTGGTTATATACAATAAGTATATCTGTACTAAATATTTAGGTCAAGTTCATTCATCAGTTGATGGTATACTTATACTTGTTGAAAAGCCAGAAGCTCTAAAGCCTTTGTTGAAGATCCTATCAAACAGTGCTAATTCTCAAAAATGTCCATTTGTCATTTATATAATTTCTGTTGGTTTAAAGTTATGGGATTTTCCAAGGTCCGATTCAATGAAAATTATATTTATGCAAGAAGCCACGTAAGTACTTTTATTTTACATACTTATTTGTATATAAAAAAAAAAGAATAAATAATTAAAAAAAATACTGTATTGTGATTAATATTTTTTTATATTAGATTAATTAGTATATATCATATATAAATATGTATATATAATCTACTAGTCGAATTACTCGGTCTTGCCCTGAAGGAATTTGACTGTTTTATAAAAAAATTTGAGGTTGAAAAACTTGATTTATATGACAAAGTTTTGTATTTTTTTATTTTGTGTATAAGTATAAAACTAAATTTCTGCGCAATTTTCTTAATTTTTTTTCTTCTATAAAAATCTTCTCCTGACAATAACAAACACAATAAAAAAATAATTAGCGAAATCGATCCAGCCGTTCACAGGTGATGCCATGTCCACGGGAAATAGAGATTCATTTTTATGCACATAGATTTTATATTATTGTATTATTTTGGGCATTTTTACTTTTTAGTATATGTAAATTATATTAATCATTAATTATTTACAGAGAATTTGCAGTGAAAAATGATATCAAACAGTATTTTAACGACTCTTTGTTAATTAATTACCACGAACAAACCAGAACATATAAAAGAAGTTGCATTCATAATTTAATGTGTTTAGTATGAAAAATAATTCAAAATTATATACTTCAAGTTGATTAAAAAATATATAATTTTAGGATTCACTTGAAGATGAATTGGATTCAACTGTTATCCCAATAACATATGCAGTGCATTTATTCGCAAATGCATTGAAAATGTCATTAGACCAAAAGTGTAAGTATAATTTAGATTCTTCAGGGATTTGCCGCAATCTTCAATCAATGCCATCGACGGAATGGGCATCACTATTAAGGACACAATCGATAATAATGAATGGACCAGAAGGACCAAAAAGAGTTAGATTTCAAATGGAAATACCACATCATGTCAGTACATATATGTGGAACACGGTCACAAGACAGTTTGATTTGGTAATACAAGTGCCATTAATATAAAAAACAATATTTTACTATTTCGTTAAAAATGAATTAGAAATAATTATTACAGATCGCTACAATAACAAATGGTGATAGATTGAGTTTCATGAAAAATGTGTTTTTACCGGCCTCAATACGTTCAAATAGATCTAACCGTTCGGCCTTTTGTCAATTACAGAAGATCAAACAAACCAAAACTGCTACAACCACATCGGTAGAAGATGCAACTGATGTAAAAGAAGATGACTGGTCTCCAATATGGCAGTTTTTACCCAGCGTAGAAAAAAATCTAAACACAAAATCTACTTACCGAGGAATGGTTGTAATGTTGTGTATAGGTTTTGGTTTCCTTATATTTATGATAGTGACCATGCGCATACTATATAACATTTTCAAGTTCAAACAAGGCAATGACGAATCATCCAATAGGAGAAGGAATAAGGCGGCGAAGGTACAAAAACCTAGAAGAACGAGTTCTGTAACAAGTAGACGATTAAGCAGAGTCAGTTCAATTATAAGTACACGATCACGTTAAGATAATGCATTTGTTATAATATAATACCTATTCTTTATTATGCGTATTTATATATGTATATTTATTTATTAAATAATATGAATATTATGCATTAATTATTAAATATAAGTAAGTACCAGTAGTTTATACAGAAATTTTACTATAATTAGCTTAATATTATTTAAAAACTTTAACACTCTTAATCTCAATATATTAATTTAATATGTGAAATGTAGTCAAAACCATAGTTTGGATATTGACTTGGTTTATTATTAAATTTGCAGTAATATGGTTAAGCAATAACTTATTTTTATTTGATGTATAGGTAAAATTCTGTAATACTTAAATTTATACTATATCTATGCCCTATAGATTAAATAGTAACTTAACATGAGAGTACTTTCTACATTAAATTTACTAGAAATAGATTCTTAGACTTCTATTTAACTATAAGAAAAGAATTTATCTACCTATACACATGTATTAAGTTATTATTTCCTGGAATCCTTGGAGCCATAAAATAATATACTTGGTTTAAAGTGAGCACCTACAGAAGAAAAATATCAAGCATTCATACAAGGACGAAAACGTTATTCAGTAGGAGAATTTGAAATTGCTGACATACGAAGTAGGATCTTTATTTCTGAAAAAACATGTTGATTTATATCGATTAGTGTAGAGTAGCCGGGAGGAATTTTGAAAGCAAATTGACCTCGGTTTGATGGAAAGTCATGTTGCAGATTTCCTAGTTTACATTTTTTGTTATACCATTTTATGGTGGGTACTTACGTGAAGCTTCAAGATTAGTGTTTGATAAATATGTTTTATTAAATATATTAATTACCCGGGGCATCGAAAACTGATTTATAAATGTAAATTGCTTGATAACTAACAATAAAGAGACAAAAGTAATGTATAATGTTTACAATATAATTCTGGTAATACAAAATACTTTGAACGCATAGCCTTAAATTTTGATTTATATTTTTCACCACATAAAATATTCGTTTACTCAATTTTGAAAAATTAAAATTTTTAACCTTTTTTTATGCATGCGCAGCAAACAAAATTTTTTTTTAAATCAGAACTTCAAACTTTGTACACATGTTCTAATCTATTTGAATAACATTACTTTTTTTTTAAAACTAACTTATACATTTTTTTCTATCTTAAGCATTGATTGATAGAAAGTAATTTATAGTTGCAAATTATACGTGTATTTATCATGTTTTTAACAGTCTACTTACAATTTTACGAATTTCATGCAATTTTATATGATTTTCGGAATTAAACTAGCTCTAAATAATTTTTAAGGTAGAATACAATTATTAAAAAAAAAAAAAAATAGTTCATACTTAAAAAGAGAAGAGATAAAATTAAAATTTAAAACAATTAGCGGAAGCGAGTTAAAGTAAGTAAATAGTTTGAATTTTTCAAAATTTACTAATTTGATAATAATATAAATTTTAAAGACATACATTTAAATTATTTAAGTTACCTTTATAATTGAATATACCGTATAATAACTATATGCATATAAATAATCAACTTTACTTTTTGTTTTAGTCTACGAGCGTTAAACATTTTTTTTTTTTTTTAAACGGAACTCGAGTATAATCTAATAACTAGTTGGTTATCACAGCTGATCTAATAAATAATTATTAACTTAATATTGCGATCCATTAAGATATTTAACTTAACTATTTAGTAATTACTATTAATAGTTGAATTACACAAAACTATATTTTAGATATTAAAACAATTATGAAGTACAATTTACCACGGTCCATGACATGATATACTGATTCATATCACATATTGTATTAAATTTATTTATTTAATAGTGTGTACTCATTATTATATAAATATATAAAGTTGAATGTAAAAGTTACGATTTCGGATTAAAAATTAAAACATTTTTCAAATAATACAGAGTACAACATAATCATATAATTGTATTACTATGTGTCAAAAATATAATTAATTAAGAAGAAGATTAATGACTTATGATTTATATACACTCATAGAAATAACCCAATAATATACATAATTTATTTCCCGTGTGTATAAGTTTAATTCAAAAATATACTTTATTAATATAATAATTCGAAAAATTAGATAAGAAAATGTACAAAGCTTATAATTTTATAAAGGGTAGCAACAATAATACATAATATTATGTTGTATCGTATTATATATTTATTTAAAATATTTATCTTGTAGCATAATTTTATGTTTTAATATATTTAATCAAAAAGTTGATATTGGGCTTTCGCTTTATATAATAAAAAAAAATTCTTGAAAATAAATTATGATAATCACATTTTAATTTTGTGTACATCAAAATTAAAACCATACTTCTTAGTTCTTAATAAACTATATTATAAATATTTACCTATGTTTATTTTTAAGAGTAATCAAGTATTTTGAATCGCGTTACCGACTAATATTGGTCTAAGCCCTTAAATACGATTATATATAATTCAAGGTTGTATATTTGGGGTAGAAAATGCTAATTTTTTGGTAATTTTAACATCGTACGTTCGACTTACAAATTGTACACTATCGTGCTGTATTATTTTAAAAAGTTAGTAAAATTAATGTTTGTTATAAACCTATTATAATTTATCATCGATACTGATTTACACATACCAATACACATATTATATATAGTTTATTTTTAATATGAGAGTTTTATCGAAGATTAGTAAATAAAATTCCAACAATATAATCGACAAAACAGACTGAAAAAGACACGGGTATAAATTGAATGTATTCATCTACCTAAGATTCGAGTGTTAGGGGAGCGTGGAACCTATAATTATTTTCCTTTATTTTCATTATAGAAAATATAGATAGGTACTAGGTATATCAAAAGTACACATTATATACCTACTAGCTACTTAATAATATGAAGTATATACTAATACGATCTGATATAATTTAAAATTTTGAATAATAATCATCAACTTTGTTTTAAAATATAATCATATTATTCGAACTGAATAATTGTTTTTTAATTTTATATATAGTCTTGCTATACATTTTTTTTTCATTTTTTTTTTCATTGAAACGACTTTATCTGTATTTGTCATTTTCTTATCTCTCGGGAGAGTCTTATAATAAAAATGTTATTATATACTTATATATTTGAATCTGTGTAATTCATAAAACTTATTTTTTGCTGTTATTATTGCTAACATTGTAATATTTTTGAAGACGTGTTTGTTTACAATAATAATAACTCTCTTTGACCTCGATGGCCGTTAAATTAACCTAGCCCAGCTTAAAATTTATATTTAAAGATCAGGTGTAATTTATTAAGCATAAATTCATATGGACCACTGCTCACTGATTGTAAAAACAAGAATTTCTGGAACCACATAATTTACATATTGATTTGTTATTCTAGTAAATTTATAACACACTGAGGTCAATTTATCACAATAACCAATCTGTTTTTGTTTGTAGATGCTATATAATTAATATCGAAATTACGGAATCAGCTATCTGCCAATATATAATAATAATATAATTAATAATAATATTAATAATAACGATTGTCAGAATCAGGAAGCGTCAAACAAACAATCGATGCATAAACTTATCGCCAAGGCTCTATTGTAATGTCGTAGTTATAGCTGAGTTGTTATTACGTTAAACGCATACTTTTTTTAAGAGCCATTAAATTGTGGGGTTTCTTTTATACTTAATTACATGATATATATAATTATTGGGAAGTTACCGTTTCCGCCAAAGTGTACCTTTCCCTTTTCCATCAAATGAAAAAAAAAAATGTTTATAAAGAAAAACGATCGTAAAATTAATGCAAGGTAAAAATAACTGTTAATACTTATAAATTTATTTATTTTTTTTACATAAATATATATTATTTTTTAAGCTAATTTAAAACTTAAATACAATATTTCAAAATTGTTCAAACTCTAGACTGACTTTTTTTATTTGACAGAAAAAGTAAAGGTATTTTTTTGGTAGAAAATGGCCGCCATACCCAATTATTGTTGGGTAGGTTGCATGATACTATCTACCTGAAAAATTTAAAAATACCACAAAAATTATAAAACACGTCCGAGATGCTTAAATTTTTTCAGACCTTATCCTTTTCATGTAGTTGACGTTCTCCTCCTCATTGTGGATGTTGCGGTAAGTATGTGAACCCTAGATGGTACACGTCCTGGTATAATTGAATAAATTGAATATTGTTTAATCGGTCCAATCTGATTGGTTCGTCGTCCATCGCGCTTACACATATAATATATAGCTATCGTTATGATTTGCAATTTGCATACTAACTACACACGGTATTCGAGGTTATACGTATGTACCAGAACATGTATGTACATACATATAAGTATATGACCATATAGAAGTAAGCATAAGTAATGACGGATTAGGAATTCCCCGTCCCTATAAATAGGCACTACTAAGCTTGTGGCTCATCTCTAAAAACGGATGTAGTCCGAATTAATTTAATCTTCTGGTAGCTGGATAGGCATATTAGTAGATCACATAAAAAAAAAATAAAATAAAAAAGTGTAATCTTTTTTTTAATCAATTTTCTTTCTTTTCCGTTGTATTGACAATTAAAACGTACACCTAGAATTTAAAAGTAATACTCTTCTTTTGATCCTCATAAAGTCATAAATTAAATATTTATATAATCACATTAATACAATACCGGGTTTATTTATATAAAGTTTTAATTACAGGGCATAGCTCATTGAAGACTGAGGATTAACTCCAAAACCAGCCTTTGCATACTCCAATATGATATTTGTAGTAGACCTGTAGACCATATGTATAATATAAAAGTAAATTATAAGCATGTACGAGTCTGTGGAGTGAATCAATAGTAACGTAGGTACTTACTACTTGAACGCGATAAAAGGTTTCAGTGTTAATTATAAAATAGGCTCTGAATTAGAAGCACATCAGTTAATCATCAATAAGTATCTCATGGAAAATAAAGAATTCTATCTGCGTCAATTGCGGTAATAGTATCCATCTTTTATCTGAAACATATTTTTATTAAACGCCGTAACTATA